CCTTCCCTGGAGATATTCAAGGAGAGGCTCGACGAGGCCCTGGGCAACCTGGTCTAGTTGGGGGTGTCCCTGCTGACTGTGGGGGGGTGGGACTAGATGGCCTTTGGAGGTCCCTTCCGGCCTGGACCATTGTATGATTCGTTATATAGAGGTGGGGAAACTGAGGCACGGAGCCCTACCTCTCGTAGTGGCGCCGGGTGCAGGTGGCGGCGCTGGTGCTGCCAGGGCTGCCCCCCAACTCGTCGTAGACGTTCTTCCACAGCCGTCGCCCCGTCACCTGTGGGGGTGGGATGGGTTAGCCCCCTCCCCGGCACCCAGTGGCCATCCTGGCACCTGGTGGTGGCCATCCTGGTGGTCATCCTGGCACACGGTGGCCATCCCAGCACCTGGTGGTGGCCATCCCGGCACTTGCATGCCATCCTGGTGGTCATCCTGGCACCCAGTGGCAATCCCAGTAGCCATCCCGGCACCTGGTGGCTACTCTGGACCCAGTGGCCATCCTGGCACTTGTGTGCCATCCTGGTGGTCATCCTGGCTCCCGGTGGCCATCCTGGCACCTGGTGGCCATCCTGGACCCATTGGCCATCCTGGTGGTCCTTCTGGTACCCAGTGGCCATCCTGGTGGCCATCTTGGCACCTGGTGGCCATCCCGGCACCTGGTGGTTATCCTGGTGGCCATCCTGGACCCATTGGCCATCCTGGTGGTCCTTCTGGTACCCAGTGGCCATCCTGGTGGCCATCTTGGCACCTGGTGGCCATCCCGGCACCTGGTGGTTATCCTGGTGGCCATCCTGGACCCATTGGCCATCCTGGTGGTCCTTCTGGTACCCAGTGGCCATCCTGGTGGCCATCTTGGCACCTGGTGGCCATCCCGGCACCTGGTGGTTATCCTGGTGGCCATCCTGGACCCATTGGCCATCCTGGTGGGCATTCTGGCACCCATTGGCCATGCCGGTGGATAGGGATGCTGATACCTGGGGGCTGTCCTGGGGGCCATCCTAGTAGCCATCCCAGACCCAGTGGCCATCCTGGCATCCAGTGGCCATCCTGGATGCCATCCCAGACCTGGTGGCCATCCTGGAAGCCATCTTAGCACCCGGGAACCATCCTGGTGGCCCTCCCAGCACCTGGGGACCATCCTGAACCCGGTGGCCAATCCATCCCAACACTCTGGTGGCCATCCCAGCATTCTGGTGACCATCCAGGGAACCTAGGAGCCATCTCAGCACTCTGGTGGCCATCCCAGCACCAGGTGGCATCCCAGCACTATGGTGACCATCCAGGGGACCTAGGGACCATCCCAGTGCTCTGGTGGCCATCCCAACACTCTGGTGGCCATCCCAGCA